TAAATTTCTCTCAACCATTCATTTGTTAAATTATGTATGTATATATATATATATATTTTTTTTAATTTTTTTTAAAAAATATGATTTTAGTTTGAATGTGATTATTGGAGGTAAAAACATGTATATATATATATATATATATATATATATCAATTTTAATTTATTCCTTCTTAATTATTGTAAAAAACAAAATCTTGCACTCTCTTTTACTTGATTTTAAATGTAGTTTTAATGTTAGTAAGCAAAAAAATTAGATTTATTAAGCTTTGTCTTTATGCATTTTCAAATGATCTTATGTTTTGAAAGTGAAGAAGAGTTGGTTGTATTGATTTTTGGTTTTAACTTTGGAAATTAAACATTAAAGTAGTATGAATTTTACTACATCCTTAATATTTTTAATAACTTGACAAGATTTTTTGTATAGCCAAAACTATTTATAGGTATACATTGTATTTTATTTATTTATTTTTATTTTTTATTCTTTTAATTCAATTATGTTGCTCAAATAAAAATTGTAGTATTGCAAGGTTTGTGTATGTGTATAATATTTTTTTAAATAAGATCTCCACTTCAATTCCTATTAAAAGTTATATTGTGTTTATAATTTGAATATAACCCACATGCAATTGTGAACTACCTTTTAAATAGATACCTAAAAAAGAATAGAGATGTAACAGAGAACGAAATCAAAACAAATCAATAGTTGATATTACACCATGGTGCTAAAATTATATTAATATTTCATAAACTACATAAAACAAATAAACTTCCAAAATAAAATCTAATGATTGAAAACTTATTTTACAAAAAACAAATCTTGTACTCAATAAAACATGTAAAATTTTAAAAATACGTTTTGGACAATAGTCTATGAATGGATTCTGAAAACGAGAGAATATTGATAGCTCAAAGAATTTAAAATAAGAGATATATATATATATATATATATATATATATAAAATTGAGAATAATACATATTTTAAATCAAATATTTAAATAAATTTTCCTTTTATTGTATATATCTCGTAAATATAAATTCATATTATTTTAAAAAAATATTAATTAGTTAGTAGTTTTAATGTTTTTGGTGATTTATCATCATAAAGCAATTTTTATGAAAACTTGGATTAAATAAAAAAAAAAAAAAAAAAAATAATTATGTGATTTAGCATAAAAACTTTTTCTCACATTGATAGAAGTTTATTATTTACTCATGAACTATAGAATGATTCATTTTGACAAAAATAGATAAATTAAATAGATCTTAAAGTAATGACACCAATCCAGACTTCACATGTTACTGAAATATAGTGCAAGTTTTTAAGTGAACCCTTCAAATTATAATTGATGTAAGTTTACCTGTTCCTAGTAAAAATTCCTCAGAAATTTTGAGTTATTTTTAGTTATTATTTTTTAAACAATTCATAGGGATATATTATTTTTCTCAAATAAAAAACAGATACATATATATATATATATATATATATTTGTATATATGGGAGAAAATTTATTCTGATTTAATATTTTTTAAAAAATCATCGGATAACTTTATGATTTGTTTAGTAAAATTCGATTTTGTTTTATACAAAGATTCTGATTTTAAAATATAGTTTGGGATCTTTGTCGAAATTGTTTTTTGGAATTATTTTATTTGGTTACGACAATACATAATCAATTAATTTTAACATTTAATGTAAATATAGGGCCTGGCAATGTAAATATGTATTGATAAAGCCGATCTAAAAAACTTTATCAATTATTTCAGATTAAACCCACAAAGTCCACTCTTTTTAAGAAGAAAAAAGAAAGGTCTGAATGCAAGTGTTCTAATTATTTTGGTTTTGACTAATTTGTATTTTATTACTTTCTCATCAAATATTGTAAGACTTGTAGGGAAATCATTTTTAGTGTTTACACATGTATGTATACAAATATACATATGGAATTCAATTTTTCATATCATATTATACCTAAAATCATAGTAAAATAAGATGAGAAACTTAAACGTTATAAAAATGTCTTTATGTCAATACTTATTATTAATTGATAGTGTGGTACATGTTTAACTATTGTCTTAGTATATCTACAATGATAATGAGAATTTAACTAGCAATAAAACTTTATCTTAACATATTATGGTCAACATGTTTTATTGTATTATGACTAAATAGAATGTTTAAAATACTGGAATAATAATCTAGGATATTATGTGTCTTGTTTGCACGTAAAAAAACGTCTAAATTTAGATGCAAGTAAATTTGATAGTGTATTTTCTTAGAATTACGTACAATAATGTATTTTATGGTGCTTACAACTATTAGTTTCTATGGCAGAATAAATTTAAAAAGTAAACAATTATACAAAAAAAAAGAAGAAGGATAGTTTATAATTAAAATTTTGATATTTTTTCTATATTAATAAGTTTTGTGTATTTTTTTCAGTACTACTAAAGTTCTAAAAAGTATGAAAACTTAATAACAAAAAAGATAACAACTACAATTTTATTTTGTGTAATTTAGATAATATTATTTATAAAGATGATTTTCATGAATTTTAATTTTTCTAATTTGTAATATCTTATCTATTTGAATAACAATGTTTTCATTGTTAATATTTTTATATGTAATGTATTATATAAAATTATTTGTATCAATTTATTGTACCTAAAATCAATTAAGCTTTTAAAAAGATGAATTACCTATATTTAATTTTCTAAATTTAGATTTTAGATATTGTACTCTTCAAAAGAAGTCAATAGTTTATAGATAACAACTTCAAGAATCATGACAATAGTAAAATTATAAGTCAAATTGAAGAAATAGTTAAACATATTCCAAATATCTTGCATAAAGTTTTAGCCTAGAAAAACAATTTGACAATCTACTAGTAGTTAAATGTAATTCTGAGTACCTCAAAGCCACTTTGATCAAGGACATTGACAAAATCAAAGACATCAATTCCTCACAATAGAATTACAAAAAGCTTTTGTAACAATTATAACTTTTGATTTTTATCACAAATCTCTGATTAATAATTGAGAATTAGTAACGTTGGACCTGGTGCATGTATAAATTAACAAATAAATTTATAAATAAATTATATATATATATATATATATATATATATATATATTCCACGAGCAAGAAAGCACCTACGTTCTTCAATACTACCTGAAAACATATAAAAGCTTATATTTGGAGGAAATTTTAGAAAAAATATTAGCAACAGAAATCGAATTTGGATTTTATACTCAAAACATTCTTCAGTAAGATTGTTTTTGCTCTATTCATACAAAGAATTCTTTGATGCAATAAATTTTATAAAGACTTTGGATAAACAACAAGATTTTAATATTAATAAAACCATTATTAAGTAGGGCAATAAATGGTTCTTTTACAAAATTCAAAAGAACAAACTAAAAGGCATACAAGTGTTATATATAAAATGTTATGTGGTCAAGTTTAATTGATAAAAAGTTAAATACTACAACAAAATCAATATGACAAGTGAGTGAATAAAATTAAAAAGAGTGATTCCAATTGTATAACATCTGATTGTATATGATACAGATGATTCCAATTGTATCATATACAATCAGATGTTATATTGTTATCAATATGAAAAGTATTATATCAGATGATTGAAGAAGAGCAACACTTACTAAGTTGATTGGATTCCAAAGACTTTTTGTTACCGTAATAAATTCTGCAAAGGGATGAGGAATTGAATCCTAGTGAATTTGAATGTTGCTGTCATTACATGTTGGTGTTCATGTATTTGAACATTAATTTGTAAAAAATAAAAAGTAAATAAAAAACCAAAAAACAGCTTTTGTGTTTTGCAAGGCAGTTCCACATTCATGCAACATGTATTAATGCAATCTAACTTTGATTTCTTGCTTTTCCTTGTCAAAAACACTAACAAAATAGACTTTTGCTCTGTGTGTTGCATCAAAATCACAGTGTAGAATGAAACCCATAACATGGTTTTGAAAAACAGAAAGCTTTATTGCCCTTAAACAACATTAGAGTCATTTGATGTTTACAAAATCATATGAAATGTTTTCGGCCAAGCTTTCACTTCAGAGCATGTAGTTTATGGTGAACCTGTTTTCAAACAATACAAGAAATTTAACCAAAGAAATTGCTAAACAGAAAAAAATCAAAATCAAAATCAATATTACGATTTTCTACCATCAACACAAAAATGTCAACACACATCATTTCTACCATTAAGTTTTCAGATACCCTACATTATGCAAAAATAGAGTCTCATTTTTGTTAATTGAATCAACCTAAATACAACAATGTGAACAACAACAAAGTAAAAAATAAAAATGAAAATAAAATAAAATAAAATTAAAGAATACAAAAATGATTTCTCCCAAAAATTAAACAAGATGATACGATTATATATATATATATATATATAATTAGTTTGTTGGTTATTTGGGATCAAAGTTGGGTAAGACGAGTGATACAACACAACTAATCCGGAGTGTGAGTTTATGCATCCACACATTTAATACATGGAATCTCAGGGGTATATTCGAATGGATGTCATATATCCCTTTTCGTCAATCGCCACTCCGACGGATGATACCGTATCCTACCCAGATCTATTCACGCCATACGGATGGAAAGTAACCACGCGAGGGAGAAAAAGCAAAACGGGCGGAAAAATGCAACTGGGGTCCGATAAAAGTAATAAAGTGGGCGGGGAGGAAGGGAAAGGGAAGGGAAGGGCGGGGGGGTGATGGGGATGAAATTTGAAGAGTGGCGCGGGAATGTGCCCCCCTCTCCCGCGTGATTAGGACATCCAACGCAGCCTTGCCCTGTTCCCCGCTCTGCCCGTCCCTCCTCCCCGCTTCTCGTGCCTTTCCCCTCGCGCCCACCTTTCTTTTTCTTTTTCTCATCTTTCCTTTTCTTTCCCGTTCGTTTCCCCTTCTTTCCCTTCTCTCTCTCTCACTCGCTGTTCTCTCCCTTGCCCTGCGCGCTTTATTCTGCTCCGCCTCGTCGCTCCGTCTCAAACCAGGAAGATCACTCTCTTCTGTTTCTCTTCGCTGCGCTTTGGCTTTGGCTTCCGCAAGTGTATGTCACTCTGCAATCCTGAATTCGCCAGCCCGCACTCTCCCGCCCGCCGCGCTCGGGTTTGGCTGAACTCTCAAGGGGGGGCGTATGTCGAGGTGCCAGTACCGTGGCTGGCCGTTCGACGAGACGCGCCTTCCTCTATTCTTGTGTGATGTGATGGTGGTGAGGAGGTGAGCGGAGGAGGGAGCATAGGCAGGGGAGCAGGCCAGGAGGGTGAGGTAATGGTGGTGGGATGTGAGGTATTGCTGTAGGTGTTGAGAGGTGAAAGGGCGGAGGAAGGTCTGCATTGTGCAAGGGATGGTGATTTGGCGCGGGTTGGTGAGGATTAGAGTAGGAGAGGGGGTCGGGTGGGAGCGATTAGAGGCGAGTAAATCGGTGGCGAGATTCGTGTAAGGAGGGTTTGAGTCGGGTTTTGGATCGGAGGTGGATCCGAGGAGGTTGGAGCGTGGAGGCTGTTGTGTGAGAGAGGCGTGAGCGGGAGGGTGAGACAGGCAAGTCTGGTTTTGTGTGGAAGCTGGCGGATCTTGATGTGGTGATGGGAGGCAAGAGCAGGGGGAGTATTGCGTGGTGAATGATTGGTTGTGGTGATGGTGTTTTGAACGCTGACATGGGGGCCTGGTTGGATTGGCCTCTTTAGTTGGCAGATGTAGTGCGTTTCATTACGTTGGAGGAGGTTTTATGGCGTACAGATGCGTAACTTGCTACCTTCGGAGGGAATGCAAGCGTGCTGGCTCCTGGCATTGATTGTGTGCTAGCGTGTTTTGGGGCTTACATGGTCAACTCCAGTGATTATATCCGGGAGAGTAGAGATTCAAATTTGTTTGGCATGTCCATCAAAGAGAGAAGGCTACTGGTTATATGACGTTCGAGGACAGTGCTAGTAGGGAGGGTGAGAAGAAAGCTTCGGTGGTCGAATAAGAATTGGGGTGGTCGTGGCGGAGAATAAAATGGCCTCGGATGCATCTCACGTCAATGATGTGAGAGTGGAATATATAAGGAGCAGGCGACCTCCCAGCTCTATCAATGGAACCCCTATTAGGGTGCCACCAAGTACCGATGACCTCGACATGGATAGCGACAATGGCTCGTACGTTCATTTTTTTCTTCTCTTTCTCCATAATTCTTCTCATCTGGCGGTCGCGTTGATTCTCTCCTCGAAACCTAGTCATTTATCTATGGTGATGCAAAATTGCACTGAAAATGAGCTTGTTTCGGTGGCAGCTTCAGTGGTAGAAGCTCCCGATCGAGTCCATTTCGAAGTCATGCTCAGCAACAAGATCAAAGCGAAGATGCCAGAGACGGAGGGTAGTGCTCTTGCACCCTTTCGATAAAAAGAATGCACGATATCCTTATCTTATCAGTAGACTCTCGATAATTACTGTTCACAACTATCTCCCTGTAGAAGCACAGCTAACTCTAATGGGTTTCGCGCCTCACATTATACTTTATGATCGAGGACGAGTGGATCTCCTCCTAGAATATTGTTCAAACGTGAACAGGACTTCTTATAGCTACCTGTAATGTGATGTTTTTTGAACCACAGATTTTTTTATAGTTCTCTGTGCGCTTGAGGAGCAGATTTTGATAGGAATCAATGGTGGCATTTAACTTTCTGTACGCGGTGGAGATGATGACAAGACGCTAGAGGATCGATTTCACTTAGTTATGGTCGTTATGTCTTAGTTATCAATTGCGACCTAGGACATTTGAACAGGGAGCATTGCTGACAGAATCTGTCTGATCTCGTCCTCAAGTACGCAGTTAGAAGCGTGAAAGGACAGTTTCCTGCTTGCGTACTGTGTTCGAATTAGTATGGAGTTTTATATCTGACTCTCACAGTGATCGATATCTTCTGTTCGTTGCAGCCAGCGACATACACTTTTCTTGTGGTCAATCATCCTTAGGTTTCCTATTTTTGGTGTTAGTGGGCCTTGCCTCATGAAATGGATTGACTTGTGTACAGGCCTAGTGCATTGTCGGCTTCAATGGTTCCGGAGATGTCAGGGGCTTCACAGATTCTAGAAAAGTATCAGGTCGACTATGTCTCTCTTGCCTTCACCTTCTTCTGGTCAATGTTTTCCACCGTTTGTTTATGATACTCAAGATATTGCAATGTGGCGAGAACAGAGTCCAATTTTGGCTATTGATACCGGAGTTCAAGGTTTTGGAGCCATACTCTCGATGTTGATAGTTTACAGCATTTTGCAGGTGGAAGCTTTCCTTAAAGCCATGCACCGGCAGTTGCAGAGTGGGGGGAAAAGGTCGTTCTTTGGGAAAAGGGCTGTTGCTCCTCAAGGCCGCGACAAGTATACAGTTGAAGATATGCTTTGTTTCCAGCGGGTACAGCGTGTCTTCACTATTCTCATGAATTCATGCTGTTATTTCGTTGTTCCCTTCGCCTGAGTTACTAATGAAAAGATGTTTTTGTTCAGGAACCGATTCCGACGTCTCTCTTGCGCATAAACGCGGACTTCATGAGCCGTGCTGTAAAACTCTTCCAGGTAATTTTACAAGACCGTACATGGTGCATTTCAGATGGACTTATCATCAGACCCGATTTCTCTTACTATCCATTTCTTGTATATTATTAGTACATCACGTGATGTCCTTTCATGTTACCTATTGCAGGTTGTTCTTAAGTATACTGGTACAGCAGAGGGAGGGCCTTCAAGTCCACCGACTGGACAAGAGCAAATTGACCTTCTTAAGAAGCTGTACAAGCATACGTTGAAAAGAACCGAGCTTCGTGATGAACTGTTTGCACAATTGACCAAACAGACACGCAATAATTCGGATAGGTGGGTGTGAATGTACGGGTCTATTTAGTCAAATAGACACGTGATGGTTGTGATATATTTGCATTTGTTGGTGGTCTGAAACGTCAATTTATATATTTTTGATAGCTTTTCTTGGTTATGTATGTTTATTTTGTGATTGAAGAGACATAAATAAATAGCGTCTGATTACAGAAGCCCTTACAATTATGGTAGTTGCATGGTCTCTGATCGATTAGGACGCTATTTGAACTTAAATATATTTGAATACTTTATCGACGTGTATAGCTTTTCATGGTAATAGGGTAAGCCTGTTGAAGACATGGGAACTATTATACATGTGCTCCTCAGCAATGCCCCCAGGCAAAGAGTTTGGTGCGTATTTGTCGGAGTATGTGCATGAGGTAGCCAACTCACCGTCAGTGGAGAGTTCTTTACAAATTCTTGCTTTGAACACATGGAACGCATTGAAGCGCTCTGTAAAAGGAGGGCCTCGGCGGGTGGATCCAACTCAAGAGGAGATCGAGGCTTTGTTAGAAGGACGTAAACTGACTACCATCGCCTTCTTCTTAGATGAGACATTTGAAGACATTACATATGACATGACTACAACTGTTTCAGACGCTGTCGAGGTAGAGAAATTTATTATTGTTGTTATTATTCTTGTTCAGTGATTGGTTTGTTCGATTCCTTGGAGGAAAGTAAAGCCTTTAGCAACTTCTCTTAGTTCTTATTCCAGGGTTGTTCTGGTCTACGTCCTGTAAAGCCTTTCTGTAGACGTAGTTGATCGTTATCTGATGGTCGTGTGGGTACAATCTTGGGTGTTCATCATTGGCAGCATCGAAAATCGATTTTGTGTTCCAAAGGCTTCCGGTACCCACGCTTGGATAGGGTCAACTGACCTGACCCTTTGCTTTTTCTGTATACGTGAACCCAAGGTTTGTGTTGTTTTTCCAGGAATTGGCAGGCATCATCAAATTATCTTCTTATAACACTTTCAGTCTTTTTGAATGCCGGAAAAGTTTGAATGGTTCAAGAGCTCTTGATGCTGCGATTGGTATGTATATGTAATCTCCGGTTTGTTGATACTGCCTATTGATGCTTTGAGTGGTTTGAACCGGGATGCTTGTTCTCCAGCATGGGTTTGGACCTGAAGTATGACTGGGAATGTCATTGTTAGATTGCCATGTATTATTGTATTATTTTTGAATAATGGATGCATATCAAATGTTGTTTTTTCTTGGGTTTTGACATGCTTTGGATATGTTCAAATGAGGGTCGCAGAGGAACACGTAGGGCTGGATGATAACAAGTACATCGGAGACATTGTAGCAGAATTTAAGTTATCGCGAGATCGTAGCAAGGGCGAGCTTTTTCAGAGCAAGCTGCTATTTAAGAAACGACTTTTTCGAGAATCTGATGAAGCCATCACGGAGCCTATGTTCGTTCAGTTGTCTTACATCCAGGTATGCGATGATACCTGCAATTTCATGCGAAACTGTCTCGTTTAATGGTGCTGGTTATATCAAAATGATAATTAGGTTGTAATTCTTCTGAAATGGGTGATTTTGTGCAGTCTCAACATGACTACCTTCTTGGGAATTACCCTGTTGGTAGGGAAGATGCAGCACAACTGGCCGCACTACAGATCATAGCGGACCTTGGATGCGTATCGAATCCTGAAACAAACACGTACGTATTCACATTGGATGTCATTATCTTGTGTTCTTGGGAAGTGGGCAGGTGAAAACAATGTGTTTCTGGGTGATTGTTACCTTTCAGGGCTGTAGTAATTCTTGATTGTGTAAGCTGCAGATAAGAGATGGTTGGCTTGGATATGTTCAATTTTCCTTGAAGGGCCTTCTGGTCGTTACTCTCTTTGCCGTTTTGAGCCTAGATGGATTGTACTGAAGTGCCGTCAGAATTTTTCTTTTGCAGAGAATGGAATGCGATGCTAGATCGTTGTCTGCCCAAACAGGTAGCAGTAACTCGTAATAAACGAGATTGGGATCAGGATATACTGAACCGATATCGGGCATTGGTGAGCGCTCTACCTTGCAGATCCTTTTTATCGAGGATCTAAGAGCAATAGGATTTACACGCCGCAACTTTAAAGTGGGTGCAGATGATACGGAGTTAAGTTTGAGTAGTTAATTAACAATTGTTAAATTGGTTATCGTAATGGGATAAACAGGCACATTTCTCGAAGGATGACGCGAAACAGCAACTTCTCCGTATCTTGCGGTCATTGCCGTACGGCAATTCAGTCTTTTTTAGTGTGCGGAGAATTGAAGACCCTATTGGATTGTTGCCAGGAAGGATTATCCTCGGTATAAACAAGCGAGGGGTAAGTTGTATTGACTCGTTCCTAAGTGGATAGCTTTCCTTAGTTTTAAGTTTTTACACCATCTACCTAGCTTGATGAATTTTCTGCCATATCGAGCAGTCTTTATAATTTTTGCTAAATGCTTCTAAAATGTACATCTAATTTTATGAGGAGCATGAATGTTCAGAATGCACCTTCTGTATCCTAATCTCTGGTTTTCGTACAGGTGCACTTCTTCAGGCCTGTACCAAAGGAGTATCTGCACTCTGCGGAGCTGCGTGATATCATGCAATTCGGCAGTAGTAATACTGCCGTTTTTTTTAAGATGCGTGTTGCTGGAGTTCTTCATATTTTCCAGTTCGAAACAAAGCAGGTATTTATAAATCAAGTGTAAGTCGTACGGTCATATCCAAGCTGCTGCGGTGGTTTTATGAGTCATTTATAACTTGGTAATTTATGATGTGTGGGATTGGCTTCAAACAGGGAGAGGACATTTGTGTTGCATTGCAAACGCACATAAATGACGTTATGTTGAGAAGGTATTCTAGGACACGCAATGTGCCCAATGGGCAGGCGCAGGGCGCGGAGCTGGTTCCTGCTGCAGTGGCAGCTCCTAAGCCTCCAGGTATCGAAGTGTATGAAAAACACGTACGAGAGATGTCCAAGTTGCTGGAAGAATCGCAGAAGAAAATCGATCAGGCAATTCACTTCATCCCTTGTCTCTTGAAGCTTTTTCTACTAGAAGTTTGGCTTCCCTGCCATTCCACCCAATGAATGTAATATTGGTATGTGTTTGTAACGCCCTTGTCGTTTTTTTCTTGCAGCTTGCAGAAGAGCTTCGACTGAAAGAGAAAAGAGAGACACAAGTGATGGAGGAGCTAGCGGGACTGCGTGACTCATTGCGTGCAGAGGAACAAACAAGATCAGAGCTTTCTGAAGAGAGAGAGAGACTGTCTAAGCAGCTTGGGGACTTGGAAGCTGCTTTGCAGGTTTTATTTATTTATTTATTTATTTTTTTCTCGTTATGCACTTATCATGCCTTGAGTGACGTTTGTATCAGTTAGCAATTGAGTACTTATAAATCTATGCTCTGATGAGAAAAATGGCGTTGGAAATGGAATGACAGATAGCGCAAGCCGAAAAGACTATTTTGGCATCAGGTTCAAGCAGCCAGGCTAGCGAAGATGTAGCATCTGATTTTGGTACAGATGTGGATACACCTAGAAGAGTAGCGCCTGGAACTCCTCGAGGGATTCGAAGAGATCGAGATTTACCACCTGCTGGACTGAGAGACAAAACCAACGAACAATCTCGAAACTTAGAGATCCAGGTATTCTCAATAAGACAGCTTGTACGCTAGTCAACACTTTATACGCATGTTTACTTCTGCTTGTGATTTCGTTCTTTAACACATCTTACATCATTTTCTTACTCTTTGCAGTGGTTATCATTTATTTCACTATGTCTGCTTTTGAAGTTGGTCATGGTGTTCTTTTCTGATCTTAGACAAAATGCGTTTGTGGGATGATATATGTCGAACTTCAGATTAAGGAGCTGCGCAATGAGTTAAGACAGAAAACGGAGGAGTTACGGAACAAGGAGGAAAGGGTCAAGAACCTTACTAGAGAGAAACAGCTTCTTGAACAGAAGGTTTCTCGTCTTGAGAGGAACAAAAGTGAAGAGGTAAGTGATAATTTCTGAGTTAGTGAGATGCTTTTTCATGGCTTCAATGCCCTCGAGTCTTTTTGTTACAATTTCCAACCGTGCAGAGTACAGGTATCTTTCAGGAGTGTTGTGATGGCTGGTCATAATTTGAACACCTTCCTTTTTCAAATTTTATTTCAGACTAATTCTGTTATTTCGGCTTCACTATTCTATTGAGGACATATCTGTTGTACATGTATAAATTCTTCTCACTTTTAAGTGCAGAAGTTCTCATAATTTCTTTTTGTCTGGATTTAGACACGTCTTATGGAGGAAAAGTTTGAGTTTGAAAGAGATGATTTGAGGGGACGACTTGTAACTCTCGAGAAGAAATTAGCAGAGCGTACCCAAGATTTGAGTCTTGCAGAGTCTACTTTGGCAACTCGTGAGGGTGAATTCGAATCCCTGCAAAGCAATCTAATGGAGCTTAATGAGCTCCGGGAGATGAAGGAGGTAGGAAAACATTATGTAATTTGAATGACATGGAAGTAGACGAGTTTCTTTATATGTCCTATTCACATCATTTTTTGAAACTCAAATTAGTATAACCTGTATTTGTGTAGTATTCACTGGGTTTTACGGAGAATGACCCATATTCTCCTTTTCTTTTCAGGATATCGACAGAAAGAATGAGCAAACAGCAGCTATATTGAAGCGACAAGCAGACCAGATAACTGAATTAGAAACTCTTTATAGGGAAGAACAAGTCCTTCGAAAACGATACTTCAACATGATGGAAGGTACACTCTAATTACAAGTTTATTCTGTTCACATATATGGTTAATCTTCGCATATCACAATCCCGACGTAGTTGATCAGACAGTCTATATTTACCCTGTTAACTTACTAAAACGGGAGTGCAACTTATGGAATCGTTGTGGTGGATTGCAGACATGAAAGGTAAGATCAGGGTATATGCTCGGTGGAGACCCCTAAGTAGTAAGGAGGTCAAAGAGCGGCAACAAAACGTGTTGATAGCACCTGATGAATTCACCATCGAACATCCTTGGAAAGACGACAAACCCAAACAACATCAATTTGATCACGTTTTCGACCACCATGCGACCCAAGAAGAGGTCTTTGAGGATACAAAGGTATAGTTGGTCAGAGTAATTGAGTCAATCCGTGCAATCTTTTTATCATGGAATGGCTTTGGTTGTAACTACTGATCCCGATGAGAATAAAACCAACTAAAAGACCTTGATTAGATCGACTTGTTTATTTGGTATCATTGAATACTTTGTCTTCTGCGCGTCTAACGTGCTTTAATGTGTGCAGTATTTGGTCCAATCAGCAATTGACGGATACAATGTCTGTATATTTGCATACGGGCAAACTGGGTCAGGCAAAACGTTTACGATTTACGGTTCTGACAACAACCCAGGTCTAACTCCACGAGCTACCAAAGAACTTTTTGGCTATCTTAAGCGAGACGCCAATAAGTTTTCGTTTGCTCTGAAGGTACACCATGTTTTGCTTGACAGAACTCGTATGTTTGAGGTCTTACAGTGCTATTTATGCATGTGTTCTTAGTGTGAAAAATTAGCTATAATTGCAGTATTTGATCTGAGTTCTCCCATTTACGACGTTTAGAAGTTTTATTATGATATGAAAAGATCGCTTTGCTACATAAGTGTCCCTTTGATTTGCAGCGGCTTGCAGTGGACGTTTCAAGCCCTTGAATTCTGCATAGGCCTGAACTCAAAGTGTGGAATTGCATGACTGTAGGTTTACATGCTTGAAATATATCAAGATTCGCTCATCGATCTGCTTCTACCAAAGAGTGCTGCAAAGCCACGAAAGCTTGAGATTAAGAAGGACTCCAAGGTAATCAAGGCTCATTGCTTTTAATTAACCTAGACTTTTCTAGTGTGATGGGAGTCACCATATGTTTCGGACCCTCTGTGTTTATGTTCGAATTGGATTGGCAGCATTAATCCTGTCAAGTTGATTAATTTCTCATTTTCATTGACGTAATCAATGTAGAAAGATACGCTTGAGTAATTGCGAGATTCTCAACAGTTAACATTCTGCATGCTTTTGCAGGGAATGGTTGTCGTAGAGAATGCAACTCTACTGCCGATTGCATCCCATGATGAACTGCAAGCCATTGTTCATAAGGGTCTGGAGAGACGACATGTTTCGGGCACCCACATGAATGCGGAGAGTTCACGGTCACACCTCATTCTATCAGTAATCGTTGAAAGCACCAACCGACAGTCTCAAGTTCTTGTGAAGGGCAAGGTTTGCTGCTCCTCTCAAATAGCCGCTGATGTATTTAACGGTTATTAATGTTTATGTTCATCTGTTCGGGTTATGCACTTGGGCAAGATTTGGAAAAGTCTTATTTTAATATTACCAAATTTTCATGTCGATTTCAAGAATGGTGTGCCTTGTTAGTTTCGTCACATTTTGTAATTAGCAATTGCACTATTTCTTGGTGAATTTCTGAATTTTATTTTGGACTTCTCTGAGCAGCTGAGTTTTGTGGATCTTGCGGGCTCTGAAAGAGTGAAGAAATCTGGATCCAGTGGTGAACAACTGAAAGAGGCCCAAAGCATTAATAAATCTTTGTCAGCACTAGGTGATGTCATTAGCGCCCTTGCAACAGAGGAGCAGCATATTCCTTACCGTAACCACAAGCTAACAATGCTTATGAGCGATTCTCTCGGTGGAAATGCGAAGACCCTCATGTTTGTAAATATCTCACCAGCAGAGTCTAATCTGGACGAGACCCATAATTCACTCTGGTGAGGAACGGACTATTTCTTGAGTCCTGTCAGTTCACTACTAAAATTCAATTTGATGTTTCTCGATACTCCAGAGAGGTAAGAAGGGGGTTTCCAGTCATTAGTGATAAGTACGTAGTGATTTTTTTGATTGACCTTTATTGTTGGTGTATTGTAGCTATGCCACAAGGGTAAGATCCATCATCAATGAGGCCAGTAAAAATACTACAACGAAAGAGATACTGCGACTGAAGAAACAAATCGCGTACTGGAAGGAGCAAGCGGGCAGGATGGGAGGGTCCGAGGATCTGGAAGAGGTTATGGATGATCGTGGAATCAAAACTGCAGATTAAATTAAAGATTCTTGTAGCTGGGATCAATCTGATGAAGTCGGTTGGTTCTAGAAGTGCTTTTTAATTAGATCATGCATAGCGTTGGGGTGTGAATATTCAGCTCAACCCGTGGACGATGTGATCTTTCTTTCGTGCCTGGTTGTTTGGATTTATGAGTGTAAGCCAAAAGTTAGTTGAGTGCAAAAGGATTGGCTCTTCCTTCACTTTTATTTAGAGGGTCCCAGATCTCAATTTATGGGATTTGCTTAAACGAGGGATATCTTGTAGTGGATTATCTTGTAGTAGAACGTGACTGGTGGGTGGTTCACTGCTGGGATTATTTTTAGGTTGATACTCTTCAACGCCAGAGAACTGATTCATTATTACCTTGTTTAATTTTGGTCATATGAGACCTATTGATTGGGGATGAATGCCAGAACATCACGGTTTTTGTTAGAATTGTTCAATCCCAGAATCGCTCAGCAGGTTAATGGTGGCAATTCCATCGCCTGTGAATCAGAAATTCACTTGAATGTTTCCACCTCTTTTGAGTGGTACCGAAGTGGTTGCATCCGTTCAGTCACGTGTACAGCTCTCCGCAATCTTGAGTAACTACGATACAGCAGCAGTGGACGATCCTAAAGGTAACACTTCCAGACCAATACCCTCTAGTCTGATAATCTGTTCTTTCTTCAAGTACTGGTCTTCCAACTAGCTGACAACCTGATTGTAACTGCTTCAATGAAGTAGGATAGCGTCTAAATCGGTCTTAATTATTGTGCACAAGCACTCGTGCTTTTTATTCAGTATAGATGAGGGCGTTTCCATGATTCGGCAATTGATTGTCAGTGAGGACATCTGTGAAGAACTTTCATAGGATCAATGGTTTTCAGTGCTTTTGGCGCGTGGCACTCTGCGTTGTTATTGTTGTTGTACATTTTGTTTTTGTTTTCTTCTTTTCATTATGAGTTGAAAGAGAAAGCCTCGCTACTTGAGATCGCGACCCAGCAAAACTTGCAAAATTGGTTGGAACTCGGAATATCAGCATTCCACTGTCGGTACAATCGGCAAATGTAATTTCTAAGGACACCCCAGTTTACTCGCGAGGATCATTCGCAATCGAATAATCCCTCCGCCATGAATTCGTTTCTGAAACCCCCTAATTGAACAATCTGCTGTACTTTCAAACATGGCCTTTTCGGGTGATATTTTACCCATGATGCAAGCTCAAAGTATCCAGTGATATTTCGAATTATCATTTGATACTTCACCAAGTCACCCACCTTGTAAGGGTGGGTGATTTTGAAATGGAAATATCAAAAGAGGGGTAGGTCAAATATCAATTACTTGATTGTTTGTTGAGGGTAACAATCAAGTTATTGATATATGACCTACCCCTCTTTCTCTCTTTCACTCCAAAGGGGTACTGAATGGTGCTATTTTGGATTTGATATTTCTAATGATCCTGGAAATATCAAGTGCTGAATCCTAGTTATTTGGTTTTGCGAAATTGCCATGTTTGAAACCCTCTATTCACAGAATGAGCAATATATCCTTCAGGAATCGATCCAGACGCAATCGACCCTTCACTGGGTAACCAAAGTGCTAACCATTAGCAATTTTAAAGAGCACACAAACTGTTTAATGCCACAGAATCCGCTTAGTTCAGATGCCATATAAATCGACGTAAAATGGAGGAATCTTTGTCTCGCCTCCGCCAGGTTTTGACGTCGTTCGTCGAATTTCGGGTTCTTCTTTTGACACAAAGTTATCGTCCTGCTAATCTCGCAATCCAACAATTATTTGAGGAACCCTAACAAGTGACGCCACTATCGACTGAACGAATCGATGATTATCAGTGTGAGCTTTTTCAGATCTATTTGTAGCATCCACCAAGTACGCCTCGTTAACGTGTTCTGTGAACAGAGTGCAGAGATGTTTGGGGACTTCTGGGATATCATGCAAATGCGTGGGTTTAGGAATAAGATTGCGTTTATGGCTATCGCTGAACAACTCATAGTCTGCCACAATCTTGTCTGGAATGATAATACTGGGCTACTGCGTTAACAACGAAAACAGTGTGGAATTGCTACTATTGTCAGAGGAAGAAGTGCTGGAAAATGTACTGGGTCTTGCCCTAACGGCACCCCCAGGAAGCGGTTTAGATCATCTCCACTGGGCCATCTGAACAGCGGCAGAGGCTTCAATTATGAAGTTGAAAACAGTGCCCACGCCGTGAAAACTCTTTCGCACGGAATCGTTTTGAGGCGGTGGCTGCCTCTGTTGGGGGGGGGGGGGGGGACGCGTAGAGGCAGCAGAAGAAAACCTGCTATTAAACAGCATTGAAGCAGACTGGATTATTTGATTCTGTTGGTGATTGACAATGTGTGAAAACGCCACGATGGCTAGAATCATGCAAAATCAAGATACAGATTCTTCCCCCGATCTCCCCGCACAAATCTCTGACATACTCATTGGCTAATCAATCTTTGGTTGATCATTAGAATGGCTAGGCCTGTCAAAGAGGTCATTGAATGCTAATTTTATCCTCTTAAACCCTAATCCTAACCCTAATCTTATATGTCCGCCGATTGTGCTGGGCATCAAAACTGAGACCGATCCTACAGAAATTTCGTTACATATCCACTGAAAAGAGGCTCACCTCAGTGTCTCTTCATGGCATGATCTAGTTGTCAAGCTCAATCAATTTCCCCAAGCTGCGAACGTTTCCCAACGCACCTCGTGTTTTATGAACTGTCAGAAAAATCGATAAGAATTACTTGCATTATAACTACAAAAAGTGTCACGGTTTTGAGATGTATGGATCTTTTGATTCTAGTTGCTCATATTATATGTATTTTTAGAAGATTTGGTTTTACATTAATACTTCATATAATGTTAGAAGTGGATTATTAAAAAATGATATGCTATATTGGAATATAGACATTAGTGTAATTTGCAGTAAAATATTTGATAAAATTATAAGAATATTAACTATTATTTAATATTTTTATTATTAAAAGAATTAAATTTCTCTTAATGCACTAGATCTAATAGGTTATAAATATGTAGCAAAAGGTGGAATTCTGATATTTAAAAAGCTTTTGTGGTAATAAAGAGTAAGAAGATTAAAAACTTGTATGAATTTATAGGAGACATTGTCACAAGTAGAATTGCTATTGTGCCTAATCAAGAAGAAAATTTAGTAGATATGACTCAATTATAGCATATAAAATTGGATCATGTTAATGATTAAGGATTTATAGATCTTTACAAGTGCTAATTCTTAAAGAGTATGTATTCTTGTAATGAGAATTTTGTAAGCCTTACGTATTTAGAAACAATTACAAAGTAAGCTTTGATTTTATTTTTCATTGTACTAAAAGTATGCCAAATCATATATATTTAGATATTTAAAAGCATGCATTGATTATTTCAAAAGTTGAAGTAGTATAATTTACTATTTTTATAGATATCTATTCAATTTTTTCTATGTATACATATATATAATTATAAAATATTTTTTGTATATTAAAATAAATAAAAAATATTTTAATTTTCACATTATAAGAAGGTGAAAATTTAAGTAATTTGATCAATAATATAAATGTAAAGGAATTATCTAGTTTTTTACAATCCCAAGAACTCCTCAATTTTAATAGAATAGCAAAGAAGTTGAATCATAGGTTTTTAGAAAAGAAAAAAGCATGTTGAAAAATATTAGGTTAAAACAAAGCATTTGGGCAGAAGCTATCAACATTAATAGTGTTTTGACAAATTTCTCTTTACTAACTATTATTTAATGTAAGACATGTAAAACAATGTGGTGTTGTAAACTAGAAAATTATTCATGGCTTAGAATTTTTAGATTTTTAACATATGTTTATGCTCAATGAGAGAGAAAAAAGAAAAAGAAAATAAGAAGGATCTTATAGTTAAGAAAATTATTTTTTAGATAATAATTTTTTTGTAAAAAAATCTAAATTTTGAGACCCAAGTATAAGTAATATCATTTTAATAGGAATGTAAATTTTATCAAACCTCTATGTTAAAATATGGTTATTTATATAAAGCTAAAATCAATTAGATTACATTTAATATTCTTAAGGGAGAAGTTGACGTTTTTAAGTCTCAACACATTACTAAAAAGACTTTAGATCCTATTACACCTAAAGTAGTTGATAATAAAAGAAATTCAAACTAAGAATTACAGAAGTCAATTTAAATAAAAATAATTCTTTATATGTTTGGCTATCAAATTACACTAGTAATTTTTTCAATTGAAAAAATGGTGATTATTTCATATTTTACAAAATATTAATTATTAAAAAGAAAAAATAGAAAAAATAATGGATAGAGAAAGAAACCATCTTTATCAAAAATAGACATAGAATACCATATAATTACTTTAAAAGAAGTAAGAAATTAGTTGTTTTTTTAATATGAAAAAATAAAAGACTTCTTGGGATAGGTGAATCAAGATATAAAAGTATTTTGGTAGTATAATAATATACTAATTTTTTTTTTTTTATCAAAAATTAATATCAATTTTTTAATATCAATTTTAATTCCAAATTATAGTTGTATAATATAATGTGGAATTAGAATAATCTGGATGTTACTATGAATTTCTTATGTAAAGAATTAAAAGAATAAATTTATTTACATCCAGCTTAAGGATTTAAAAGAACAAGAGAGAGAAAGAAAAAAAAAAAAAAAAAAAAAAAAAAGGAGAAAAAAGAAAAAAAACAAAAAACAAATACCTTGTATGTAGGCTGAAAAGACACTATAAATATTGAAGCAAAGTATGTAGCATTGATATAAGAAATTTGGTGTCTTTGATGAAGCAAAAAAATAATTGCATTGATGTTGGCTGTTGTGCATATTTCAAATAACTATAAAAGTTTGGCTTGTACAACTATGTCATACTTGATTGTATTTCAATAATATTTTTATCAAAGTAAATATATAGGTATATAAATAAATAAATAAATATATATTAATATAATTAAATGAACTAAATAAATATATTTATATGATATTAATTTTTATATATATATATATATATATGTATATATATTATATCATAAAAGAGATAAACTGAAAACTTCTTAATGTATTTCAACATAAGAAAAGTCCAATTAGTAAGTACTCTTCTTGAATCTCTTTTTAAATAATCTTCAATATAATATATTAGTATTATGAATAAAATTTAAAAAATGTCTAGTATTTTATATCCAAATATAATAGACAATCTTATGTATGCAATAGTATATATTAGATAAAATATCTCGTAAGTCATAAGTGTAGTCAACAAATGTATCAATGCATTGTAATAGTTAAAATAGTATATTTCTTGCAAATATTTGAATATATTATTTCTAATTAAAATACATAGATTTTGACATCATTACATTTGAGATATTATTACTAATAGTGAAATTTATTTTTAAAAACTAGTAAAAAT